TACCCCTGGTATGTATATTTGTATTCCTCTATATTCATATCGTACCATATCGTATCCATATCCATCCAACCATTCACTCCCCCACCCATATCACAACTCATCTAATCTACAGAGAATTGACACCACATGGCAACCTCATGTAATTTACGTTAGATTTTTCTGAAGCACAGGTATATCACTAGAGAGATAAAGGACTTAACTGTTTACATCGAGGTTTCAAACACATTTTTCCAGAGGTCCGTTATAATTTTTGGCCAAACTGACTTGTTTAAGGCAGAGTTCACATTTGCCCCTTATTTCTTGATACTGAGAGATTTTACTCTAAGATTGCTTTCATGTCACTTCGTCAGTCAAGCTTATTATCATTTGGTCTCCATGGACTAGTTTTCCACTCTCAATTAACACCACTTTTTTCTTTGTACTATTTTCCAAGTACATCTGAATCATTATTGATGGAATTCTTTATTTAACATCTATCCCACTACCAAATTATAAACCCCACTAGCGTGAAGAAAACGTCCATCTTGTTTATTTTATACAAGCAGCACCTAGCGCAGTGCTTAGTATACATAAGTTCTCAGTAACGGTTTGTTGCACTGGTGAGTAGATGAGGTTGAAGTCAGTTTTACAGGTGGTATATTATTATTATTATTTTTTGAAGATGTTATTTATTTATTTGACAGAGAGAGAGAGAGCACAAGGGGGAGGAACAGAGGGAGAAGCAGACTCCCTTCTGAGCAGGGAGCCTGATGCGAGGCTCGATCCCAGGACCCTGGGATCATGACCTGAGCTGAAGGCAGGCGCTTAACCAACTGAGCCACCCAGGTGCCCCGGCATATTATTATTATTATCATCATTATTATTATTATTATTAGAAGCAGAAGCAGTGTGCATGTGTCATTCCTGCAGTTTTCTCCTGTTTGGTGGGTTTGGGTAATTATGAAATTGCTTTACCCTTAGGGCTACAGATTCAAAGAAGGAAAACAATTCGAACATGCAAAGTGCTCTGCAAATGTTTAACTCCAACTTGGAAAGGGTTTTAGAAGTGGTTACAATAGTAACTGAAAGTGAGATAGAGCTCTGTGGGTCTGGTAGGGCACTTTGGGTACTGTCTTGCTATTTAATTTCCAGAAAGAAAATGCTTCAATCAATGCATGTGTTGATGGTCTACCTTGTATAATGCATGCTACTTGGCTTTACGATGTGTACCAAAAAGCCCCTACTTCAAACTAATTATAATCTGATTGGGAAGTTATAGCAGTGCTAACTACAGGAAAAGCTAATGAGAAAAAAAATTAAATGGTAAGTATGAGGGCAAATGATTGGTTTTCAGACATTCAGAGAAGGACTACCAACAGAAGTCTTCATAGAAACAGACTGGAGTCTGAGAACAGGCCATTTAGATGGGCAGAAAAGAGGAAGACACGTATTCAAGATAGAAAAAAAGTTATGTGGGCAAAGAGGTGGCGACAGGGACGGCCAAAATTTGTACAGGGCCATGAGCAGAACAATGCAGCTAAAGTAAAGGGTTCACCCAGAGAGAAGCTGAGAGATGGGTTATAAAGGTAGATGGAGCCATAAAGTGAAAGTATACCTAAGAGGCTGAGGAGAACGGGGTATTTTTCTGTCAGTTTCCCTGAAGCCACTGACAGGTGGCATAATGATAGCAACATAAAATATTCAATGATGATAATATCTTAATACCGCACAGCATTTTGTTGCAAAGTAATTTCATCTATTATTCACAGAAGAAATTCTTTTTTTCTCATTTTGCAGAGATGTCACTGCACGTCAATACATGTAAATGAGCTAGCTGTTTCGTGGCAGAGCTGTGATTGCAAGCTCCATCTTCTGCCCGGGCAGGTTGCAGGAATTGTCAGAGTGAGGAGACAGAGGCCAGGGGAGGGGTGGGTGGTTCGCCTGTGTTCCTGCAGGCTGGCAAGGCTAAGAACTGCGCGAATCAGTGTGGGCTCTGCCAAGGATGGGCCACGTCCAGTCCTCATGACTTTTAGAAAGCCGCTTTTCATCGCAGGCAAGTATAGAACTACTAATCACAACCTACAGACATTGAAACAGGAAGCTGATCACACACCTATGCTTGGTTTTAAGATGGCAGAATAAACCTATTTTCCTCATTGCTTCATTTTGCCAAAGAGCTGTCGCTGCTGCCTTAATTTGCAGGTGCTTAAAAATCAAATCATATTTTAACGATTGGGTTATATACAACTCCATAGCCTTTTACGGTCATCTGTTTCTAAGAATCAATGGGTTAACTTAGAGATTCTTCACCGCTGTCTTTCCATTGATGATGTTTTGAAGGTGCTTGCAACCCAGCTTTCTGGCACTGCCTTTTACAATTCTCGTTAACATTTATCTTATTCAGATACAGTACGCCTCACTTCAGCCGTGAATCACTGACTGCCACTCCCACATACTGTACCCAGTGTTAACATAATCGCTTTAAAGTGCTCCAGAGATCTTACACAAAAGTCTTTTGAAATTAGGCTCAAACTGAAGAATGTATCTTTCTTCTTCCTATCTGTTTATCTTTTTTCTCTCAGGAGAATTTTTTCTTTTATGAAAAGGTTCCCAAACTGAAATGCTTCTCTCCCCTTCCTGAGAGATTGTGATCTACCCTGAACACAAGAGAACACAAAGAGAACTACAAAGCCTCCAAGATTGCAATCCGCTGATGTCTACTGTTTTTTTTAAGTTTGCGCCTTGTTAAATCAGAACCATTGACAAAGAAGCAGTGAATATCCTGTGGGAGAAAGAGCCATTGCTCTCAAGCAGAACCGCTACCCAGCATTATGATGAGTGGAAAAAGTCTAAGTCTGTTTTTATGGAGTGAAATCTCAATTTTCTTTTTCTTCTTTTTTTTTTCTTACTGTTTTGACTTTTTTTCAATCGTTAAAAAAAACTTGTATGTATAGTCCATGCTACTTAGTAATTGGTCTCTGTCAAGAAAATTACTTATTTGGGCGCTCCTTTCATTAGGTGAAATAGAAAAAAAAAAAACAAAACTGTTTTAATGCCGTAAAGAAATAAGAACCTAGGTGTTCAGATTGTATATACTTTCGGGAAATAGTAGGATCATGACGGGACATGCAAGATGACCCACTGAGTTCCTGCATTCCTTACAGGTACCACAGGGGAATTCTCTGGTATGAGAACCCACATCCAATCCAAGGGAATTCAATCTTACTGTTTTTATACAAAAGGCTTCAAGATTGAGATTTTATTTGGCAAAAAAAAAAAAGTCTTGGCTGCTTAAAAATAAAACTTTCAAAAACCCTGTCTTGACTTTATTTTATTCTATTTTTCTCTTTCTAATCAAATGTTCACCATTCTTTAATGTCCAGATCACGTTTTATCTTAAACAAGGCCCTTTCTGACCATTCTAGAATATCATTCCTTGTCCAACATACTCACTGTTTAACTCTCTTAGTTTCACTTAACGACACTGTGTTTTGTATTTGTATTAAATCACCCAAATGTCTTACTTCGTCAACTGGCTTATAAGCCCTTGGCACACCAAGAACATGGCTTGTTTTACTTTGTATGCTTCTTGCCACTGAGCACTAAAGACAGCTCCTCTTTTCTAGAAATTAGGCAACTAGGAAACAGGGGACAACTCTCCCTTGCCCCCCCGCCCCCAGACATCCATCGTTGTGACAGAAACTTCACAGCACCTTCTGATAACTTCACTCCAGGGCCGCAGAGGAGGGCCCACCACAGTCAAAATGGCAGTGTATGAGACTGTGCATTCCACCCCACCCAGCAGGCGTGTCTCTCTGGGCTATGGGGTCAGGATAGTCATGTGAAGTATCTAGAGGACAGCACAGATGTGTCGGGGGTAGGTGGGGGGAGGCAAGGATCTCAGCAAGCCACACTCAGATATGCTGTTTTAATATTGTCTAGACCAATGCCAACCAAAGTTAATGGCTTTTTCACATTTTATCCCCCATTCTGTCACACCTGGAACACTCCATGTCATTTCTGATTAAAGAAATTACCTTGATAAAAGCGGATAATGTGTCCCTTGCTCCTCCTCTCTTCCCCATAGTCAGTAAATAATGCCCTCTTGTAAGGAGAGCCTGGGTGGCTCAGTCCTTAAGTGTCTGCCTTCTGCTCAGGTCATGATCCTGGAGCCCTGCATCAGGGTATCAGGCTCTCTGCTTGGCGGGAAGCCTGCTTCTCCCTCTCCCACTCCCCCCGCTTGTGTTTGCTCTCGCTATCTCTCTCTCTGTCAAATAAGTAAATAAAATCTTTAAAAGTAATAATAATAATGCCCTCTTGTTTCCTGGTCCTTTTTAGGCAGGCAAGTATGGAGTTTCATAAAGAAGTACAGGACGCTAAACCAGAAGATGTGGGTTTGATTATAGTTCCTCACTACCTAACTGAGTGACCTAGGGCAAAGCAATTAGCCACAGAGACCCACTCTGCATATTAAAAGTGGGTGGGGGTTAAGGATATTTACTTTGAAGTTTAATTAAATTTTTTTTTTTTTTTAATAAATGAACATGAGCCTGCCTAGCGCAGGATCCAGCTCATGGTAGGTACTCAATAAATGCAACTTAAATTTGAATTTGAAGCAATAGCTTCTTTTGCTCATTTTTTCTTAATCCCTTACATGCACAATCACCCTGTTCTCATTGATATCCACACCCTTTTAAAGAAGCACGATTTTTGGATTACTTTCAATTATTATTTCTTTTAAAACCTCTATCTACCAGAGCAGTTCACTGCATGTAGACCCTGCTACACATTAGAATCTCCTGGAGAACAGTTAAAAAAAAAACAGTGCCTGGGCTCCATGTCTGACCAATTGAATCTGTAACTCTGAAGACAATCACAAAATTTGCATCCAACGATACATGAAAAAGTCAGGGGAAAAAGACTGGCTGAAAACGCTTCATTCAAACCAAACCCAAATGAAACGGCTTGAGAATTATTGCACATGTCCTGCAAGACTGCAAGAGGGATCTCACACCACTTACCTTTGTTATTGTATACATCTAAATAATTTGGTGCTGAGAAAATTGTAATTAGAGAAGGGAAGCCTGTCGTTTGGCTTTTCCTGTACATGCGATACCTAAAAACAACAAAGATGAGTTACAACAAGGCTATTATAGGGGGAAAAAGGTGATATCAAATTACAGATTTAAAATAGAATATTCAAGTTACGTTTTATCACTCCGAGAGAACTCAATTACATAACATTAAACAAAATTTTCTCTCTAAAGTCTGTTACACACAGACATGAATTCCTCTCAAGGTTGACAATGAAAACACACAATCACATGTACAATATCCAAAGAGGCCTTTCCTAAGTTTAACAGGCCTAGGGGAGGATGGAATTCAAGGCAAAATCATAGTTCATATCCATGTGTGCAACAGAGAAAACAAAGGTCAATTTTTTCACGAAGACATCCTGTACCTACAATGTTTTTTAGAAGTTTGCCAATACTCTTGGCATTAAGACTAAATAAGCAGAGCAATATATAAATCTTTCACACTAATAACCAGGCTGATTATGTGATTTATCTGCAATATCTACAATATTCTGTTATGGTCTTCACTAAGCAATTTGCTTTTCAAAGGACGTGTGGTTAAATCTACAGGTTTTATATATTGAAAGTGTTTCTATTTTAGAACTTTATTACCAATCGCTTCGGCATCTGCAGGTCAAAGATTATTGTCTGAGCAGGGTAATACTTAATCAATCAGTAATGAAACAGAACATCTGCAAGATCTTTGGAAATAAACCAATAAGCCAGTAACTTTTCTTCTATTAGATAAAAATAGGACTCTAGTCCTCAAATAATCAAAAAATACAGGAAACTCTGGCTCTTTTCCATTAAGGTGAAAACATATCTCATGACTTCTATGTAACAGATTTTAGGAATATTGGTTTAGAAAATTTCCTATGACGTGCAAAACAAAATGTTATCATTCCTTGGGTATTCTGTGTCATGTTATTTCTGGCTGACTAACCAGGCTTACTTTAGTTGGGTTCTAAAGTACCTCAAATATCTGCCTTTAGGTAGATAAATAGCCACCTTAAGATTTATAATTTTATAAATACTTTCCCCAGGAGAAAATATCCTCTGAAGAAACTTCTGAAATATTCTAGAAGTATTTATTCCGCATACTGGACTAAACTTTGCTGGTGGAAAAAAATCAGAATGTGAAAGATAATTAACATTCTCAATCTTAGTACCCTTGGCATTTTAAACTGTGATTGGCTATGCCTACTCGACAACAAATAAAAACAAAGAAACTAGATGACATAATCTCAATTTTCCACAATTAATCAATCAAATGCTCAATTCAAACAAATATGCTAATTGATTTTAACTGATGAACTTAAAATATTTTCAAATAAGCAGATGACTTTAGGTCTGTAGTGGGATTAATATAAAGCTGCTTAAAATGTTCAGTTGGGACAGTGAGTCAAAAAAGCATGGTGACACCATTGCCCTGAAAACTGCAAAAAGAAAAAAAATTATTTGAGGACTTGATTGGGCATATCAGCAGGTTATATCAAAGGTCAGCTACAACACACTGAGTATATAGAACTGGATTGGTTCATACCTGTTGATTATTGGTTGGAAAAGCTAATTTTGAAAGGAACTTAAGATCTGCCTTGACTTAGGATCATCAGACATGGGCTTACTTCAGAATGCGGTCATCTCTATTCCTAATTTCAGCACACAGGTTATAATACTAAGTGTTCCTCCCTTTCAGAAAACTCAGAATATGAAAGAACGAGTTTAAGCATTTGAAGGCAAACAATACCTTTCAGGGGAGCCTACTGAGAAGGGTACTGGACTTCAAATCCTAGAATTCATTATGCCTTTTTCTCCCTATTACAGATTTAATGCACTATCAAACTGAGTATCTGATGTTTCTTAGTTTTCTAAGCCCTTATAATTGGCCTACCAATTATACTAATAATTATACTAACCCCAGACCCTAAATTTTAAAATTTACCATGTATTACAAAATCCTGTTATGCATTTGTTAGTTAGAATATACAATTTTCTCCCTCATTTAAATGCCTCTACTTTTGTCCTTGAAAACTTCGCAGGGGTCAGGAATGATATTCTTTAAATGAGAGTACACCATGCAATATCTGTTAAATATTTATGTGTAATTCTCACTCCCATTGCCAACCAAGACTGAAAAGTTGCTGGTAATTTACTCACTTACTGGACAGTGGGAAGAGCAGGATGAAAAGAAATCAGATGGACCCAAAAAGTTCTTAAGAAAGCCAGCTGAAAATTTTACCTGTTCAAGCTAAAAATGGAGGCACTTTAAAGGGGAACCTCACCACACATTTGAGACCACTCATTCCCCAGAACCCTGCCGTTATCTGTGTCATCAGAACACAATTTTAAGATCTAATTGTCTTCAGGGAGAGAGCCTAGCAAAAAGGATCCTCCACAGCCTGAACAAAGTGAGGGAGCTGTGACCCAGGGGCTATGCATGGTTTCCATAAACCCACAAAACTGCTCACCCTGCATCTTGGGCTTCATGGGCTCGGAGTATAGATAACAAATTATTGTGCTGTAAGAATTCACATACAGCTGGGTAACTGTCAGAGACAAAAAGAAAAGAGAAAGAAGCATCTGTTATGAAATCATCAAGAGTAGCACATGTATCTGTAACATCCTGACCTATGTGATCTGATCAAGCATAATCAAACATACATCATTCATGAAACAAGCCTCTTGGCTCTCAGGACAGGTATTTTTCCCTGTGGCAGAAAAAGCACCTGCAGCTCTACTTTTTACATAATCTGAAAGGGCTGGAGATGCATGAATTAGACAAAGAATGCAGGCCATTATATAACAACACTAGAGAAATGTCCACTCAGAGAAAATCAATATTATCAAGTCTACATTTAAACACAAGTGAACAGAAGCATCAATATAACATGAGAGTGGAATTTAAAATATAAACCTCAATTTTCTCAAATATAGTACTATTTGGATGCACGTGCATGCCTGAGTGCTCTACAGAGTGGACTGAGTTAGGGAGTGGGAGAGAATATGCCTTCTGGAAACCAAGTTACCAACTTACTTATGAGTACAATAACCGATATATCATTCAAAATCTAAACAGAATTATGGAATTCACAGGTTTTAAACTGTGTACTTTAAAAATGATCAACAGAACTGTATCTTAAGACTTATTCTTAACCTTGACTTAATTAAAATATTAAATCCATAATCAATAAAAATATTAATACATAATATTAAATACATAATCAAGATGATTTTGTCTATTAAGGAAGTCTCAAAACCAAAGATGAAAACATTATTAAAAATGAAATTCAAATTACAAACTAAACTTGTAAAACCTTGGCAATCACTTTGTCTCTGCTCTACGAATTTTTCATGAGATAAATGTTTGTCATAAACATGAATAAATTTTAGGTGTTTCAAATAAAGGGACAGCAAACCAATGCTCATTTTAATATAAACAAATTGCAGATGCCCACTAGAACCTAAACTATATGCACTATAAGGAATAATTCAGCAACCATAAAAATAGCACTTTGAAGAAATACTAAAGAGTACATGTCACTCAAATAATTTATTATAAAAGAGAAGATGAAAATAGTTTCTATGTTACAGTTTTTGTAAGAATTCCCTGATCAAAAGGAAAAAAAATAGCATTAATATGGTACACCAGAGTAGAGATGTTGATTATAAAAAGGATTCAGTTCTTTGCAAAACTGGAATCTGAAATAAAAAATAGTCTTTGTGCATGTGCACACATTTATGTGCATTTGTACACGTATGTATAGGTATTCTAGAACATTCTAGCAACCTGCTAAGGAGAGAAAAAGAGGAGACCAACCTTCACGAGGCCTTTACTTCCTAGTTGTCCCAGGTCAGTCCAGTAAATAGACCATGTAACTGATGAACATTAGTGTAACCTGCAGGCTGAAGATGACCCAAGAGTACGCACATGGAAACGTGTCCATATGGTACTTAGATCAAGAGCTGACCAACATGTGTCTTTAAAGGCTGGTGTTCTACCCTAGGAAAAGGCGAGTATATGACCTTTCCAGATCAGTGTGTGTCAACAAAAGAAAGCTTAATTGCTGAGACACTGGTTGGTCTTTACAAAATAGCACATACATTTGGACCTATTTAGCCGTAAAGTGCCCAGCCAAGGGATGACAGTGTAGGGTGGCATCCAGTAATATTCCTTCCCGATCTCTTCCAGCCATTTACTTCTTGTGCCCTTGAGATACTTCTTTAAAAAGATAGTTTAGTGCCTTGTTGTAGCACTGAAAGAGGTTGTTTGTTTGTTTAGGTTTGTCACTTTTTGTCCTTGGGCAAATGGCTTGGCAGCACTTTTTAAATTTAGTTTTTCCTTTTGTTAGAACCTACACTAGTCTTATGAAAGCATAATTTTAATACATTTTCTTCATGCTAAGTTTGATACCCTTATGTGTTTAAAGTGTTCCCTCATGGAAAAATATATCTGATTTTTAACGGCAATCTAGAGAAAATAAAATTAACCTTGCAGCAATCTGCTAGGTTAATAGCATTAAGTGAGGAACACTTGTATTATTACCTGGAAGGAACTCATTTTGAAGAAAATCTTTAGAAATTTAAAGGCATACATAATCAAATACTCAAACTCTCTAAGAATTACAAACATTTTTCTAAATACATTCAGAAAATACTTGAAATCATCTAGATTCCCATTATTGGTCAACTGCCTGCCTGGGCTACATTAAAGTCTTTAATAATATTAGGTGAAAAAAAACTTCACAACATTTTTATGTTTTTCAATGGAAAGGATGATATACCAAAAAGTGTTCAAGCTAAAAAGCACTAAAGATACATGTAGAATGATAGAGAAAACAGGGTTCAGAACCCCTAATACCACAGAGGGAGCTGGAAAATCATTTATTCCCCAATAATTTGTCAAAGACTCATCGGTGATTTGTTCTATTTGTTAGAAGACTATGAGGCACAGGGAGGGTGGTGTGGTAAGTGTAAGGTGTAGTTTCTGTCTGGAGGATATTGTTTATCTAGGAAGGAAAGTAAAGCATTTATCGGGATATTATGAAACAAAGAAAGCACATTGGTCTGAGGAAAAATTTTGAAAAATACCTACCCCATGTTAGACCTTTTGTTTTCTTTTTTTGTTTTCTTCGCATCAATGAGGTGAAGCTTCTGAAGCTGAAGCTTCTATGCCCATCAAGGAGAAAGAGCCCCTTTTCCTCCAGTCTGGTCAGCCCAAGCATGAGCCCATGGCCTCCTTTTGAGCACAGGGCTGGCTGGATCTCAGTCCTACTCACAACCCGTCCGTGGGCACCCTTCTCAGGAAACCCTAGTATGTTTTTTTTTTTAACCCAGTGTGCTGAACATGTCTTGAAAGAAGACTTAACGCAAAGATTGGTGAAGGCCAGTGATACTTTCAGCTTTGTGACATTCATTCACCAGCATGCACTAATATGTTTGGGGAAGAAGCTGTACTCTCTGAAAATGCTTTTTTTTTTTTTTTCCCTCTTGGTACATGATTATTCCTTAAGCACTAAAGAGTGCTTTCCTCTTAAAAAAGGAGGTGGAAATTTCCATGGAATAGTGGGAATCCTTAGATCTGGGTTCTTATTCCAATTTCCTGTGTAAACTCTGGAAAATTGCTTAACCTCTTTGAGCCTGAATTACCTCACTGGTAAAAATGCAGGCGGTAGCATTTATATCATAGACTCAAGATAAAGATTAAATGAGTTAGCAATATATAAATTCCCTAGTCTAGGGCCCAACTGAGAACGGTAGACATTTAACAACTCTTAATTTTCTCTCCACCACCATGTTGTGGAAGAAAGATCACAGCATAGAAGTGAGTCAGCAACCCCAGATTCTAGTAGTAGCTGTTGTGAAAAAGAAACCTACAGACCTAAAATGGCATCACTTAGGCCAAGTCACCAACTGGGGCTTCATACCTAACCTCATGGAAGTTTCAGCCTTCCCCAGAAAAGTAAATCTTAACTAGTCAATCAGGAATGTTTTGACCTGCATTGGTGAGGTAATCTGTCACATGGGCCTTCTGCCTCCACCAAAGGCCGATGAGGTAATCTGTGTGAGACCCCTGCCCCTCCCCCTAAGGCAACGTGACTGGCCTGAAACAAGATTTTCTCTCCTTTTGCTAATAACCCCTCACCCCACCCTCCTTCCTATAAAAACCTTCCATTTTGTCCAGCCCCTCAGAGCCCCCTACTTGTTAGCAGGGACGCTGCCCAGGTCATGAATTGTTAAATAAAGCCAATTAGATCTTAAAATTTAAAGCGTTGATTTTTTTTTTAACACTTAAATTTATTGGTTGTGACTCATGTTAGATCATTAACGGCAATGACATACGGGGAATACTAGATAGGAAAGGAGTTAGAATAAAAGCAGGAGAGGGACGGACGCAGAATGAGCATGCACGAAGGTAAAGAAGGTAGAAAAAACAAACGTGAGAAATGGGAGACAAACTGTTTTGGCATTAGAGAAAATAGTTATGATTAGACTCATTCTGTTTATTCTCTTATTTTTGTTCCTTCCTATATTGAACTATGCTTAGACCTTGAATTAAGCCTCCCAGGTTTCTGTCTCTGTAACTAAGATATAGCCAACCGGCATTATTAAAATGCTTTTTTTAAAGCTTTTTTGTCTTTATTTCTACTGAGTATTTTTTCCTTCTGGAAAAGCTTACTCTTCTGCCAAGCCTTAGCTAACTTATCACCTATAAACCCTTCCCCTCAAAACTACCTCACTCTGGAGTGTAGAGAACTGCTGTGCCCACCATGCTCCCATAACGTATTTGTCTAAGAGATCATTCATCATGTTGTAGTGTAAATTATGTTTATTTATCTGCTCTCCAGCGATACTGAATGCCTTAAGAGATGGACATTATTGTGTTTGTCTTCATATCCTAAATGCTTAGCAGCAATCTGTCAGCTTATCGGAGCTTACACTCAACGGCTGGAGTATCTCAACAGGGCAGTCTAGGAGTATCTCAACAGGGCAGTCTAGCAGGTGAGAGATGGAAAGGTTTCTTTCCCTCACCGGGGTCAGCAAAGCTGAGGCAGACAGCCCACAACCCCTGCTAAGGGGCTGGGAGGAAGCCTCTTGCTGCCTCCTTGGTGTCCTTACCTTTTCTCAGTCCAGCAGTAAGGGAGGACTCTGCCTAACAGCCAAGCTCCTCCTCTGTTTCTAGGTGCTGGGCAATGGGTCCTAAGCCCTGGGGTGTCCCGGCGTCACTGGATGCTGTCAGGCGTACCTGTTCCCAGGGCTTGCCACGGTTCTTTTTTTTTTTTCTTTGCCCCAGGGTTCTCCAACTAATTTCATTTTACCCACTAGGTATCACGTCTGGAAGGGCTCCAACTTCTCCTGCCAGAGCTTAAGTCCTTGCTTGCACCTGGCTGCGGGCTGCCTCAGGAGCAGTGAGCAATTTTTATTTAAGGCAAACATTTTATTGAAGCTTAACATCTATACAGAAAACTGCCCAAATCAGAAGATTGCAAATGGATGATCTATCTTCCCCTTGTAACTAGCGTTCAGATCAAGACACAGAACGTTCGTTACCTGAACCCCAGCCACTCTTCATAGCTCCTTCGAGTCACTATTGCCTCCTCACTAAGGGTACCTGCCGCTCGGGCTTTGAACAGTATAGATTAGCTTTCTGTAATGTTAAACTCTTATTTCAATGCTATGATCAACATGCGCTCCAGTATCGGGCTTTCTCCACTCATCGCTATCCTTGTGGCATTCACCCATGTTGTTATGTGCAGCTTTGGTGAACCCCTTCTCATTCGCTGTATTTAGGTGTGTAGATATACTACAATTTATTTTTTATTTTTTATTTTTTTAAGATTTTTTTATTTATTTATTTGAGAGAGCGAGAATGAGAGAGAGAGAGCACATGAGAGGGGGGAGGGTCAGAGGGAGAAGCAGACTCCCCGCTGAGCAGGGAGCCCGATGCGGGACTCGATCCCGGGACTCCAGGATCATGACCTGAGCCGAAGGCAGTCGCTTTACCAACTGAGCCACCCAGGCGCCCCGATATACTACAATTTATAATTCATTCTATTAAATAGATAGATATTTGGGTTGTTTCCATTTCTTGGCTATTATGAATACGGTTGCTATGAGCAATCTTTTGGGTGCAAACACGTGCACATTTCTAGTGAATATAAAAATAAAAGTACAATAGCTTAGTTATATATATGTTAGCATTAGTGTATACTGAAGCAGCTGACTATATTTGGGATGAGAAGTAAAAGGGGACCATTCAGATGGTCATTTTTCTAGATGTGTTCTCTTCCATCATATTTTCATAAACACCACTTTCCCTGCCTGCAAAGGGCCTTCCCAGATGACTCTGGTTGGATATGTCTTGTTCATCCTTTAAAACTCAGGTCTAATGACACTTCTACCACGTGTTGTCCCTTAAATTCCAATCTACCCCTGTTTGGGTTAGGCCCCCCAACTCTGTGTGTATATCTGTGTACGTGTGTGTGTGTGTGTGTGTGTGTGTGTGTGTGATAATCTCCACATTTCTCACAGTATTTCTCACCTTGAATTTTATTTGTCATAGCGTATGGGTCTTTGCCACTCAAAGGTACTCTCCCTCAAAGGCAGGTACTCTGAGTATCTATAAAGCCTCACAGAAGGCATATATACTAGGTGCTCAACTGATGTTTATTAAATAATTGAATGAGTGAAAGAATTCTCAAAAGGATACCCATTAGGGAAACCATATGATTTGGAAGAGGGAGTGGGAAGGAAGTTCTGAAATTTAGATGTGATTTCAACGAACTAAAAACGAAAGTCTTGAACTCAGAGTGAGAAGAAGGGAAGGCAGAGTGGTCTAGGTGCTGGTGATATTTTTAAGGAAGGGTCAATAAGATGTGATGACTGATTGGTGGTGATTTCAATGCAAAAAGAACTAGCGAAAATATTTGCTAGTCTGCATGAGTCTTAATAGAACTGTTAATAGAAGCGAAACCAGGAGGAATCCCCAGTGCGGAAGTAAACCATAAGCCTTTTCAGGCAAGGTGAGTTCAGGTTAAGGTGACCATGGGCCATCTAAGATAAAAACTTCCAGCAGCCACCCAGAAATAGAGAAGTCCAGCTCAGGAAAGATAAACAGATGAAGGGGCTAGATCTGAGTTTATATACAGTTTATATACACCAAGTTTATTTATAGTTTATAAGGAAGCTAAGCAAACAGGTGAGGTTCCAGGGAAAAGTTTATATACAGTTTATAAGGAAGCTAAGCAAACCACCGAGTTTATATACAGTTTAAAAGGAAGCTAAGCAAACAGGTGAGGTTCCAGGGAAAAGTGTGAAGGAAAAAAATGTCCAAAGCAGTAGGACGACCAAGAAAGGGCAGCAGGGAAGGCAGGGATCTGCTGGATAAGTTAGAGGAGAATCGGGATGCGGAAGAAGGAAGAACCAGAGGATTTCCAGGTGAAAGGGGTTGGCAGAAGAGTAAGCCACAGAAGGAAAGGTGGGCTGCACATGACAAGGAGACACACGGCTGATCGGTGATTAAGAGACAGGCAGTGATTTGAGTGAGCTGCAATTTGCAGCTTCAGAAACACTTTAAATGACTGTCAAGATGTTCTTTAAGTGTCAGAGTTGAGAGGAACTTCAGAATGTCTGATGTAACTCACTCCTTTTGAAGTAAGCTAAACCTAGAACACAAAGCTTACATGGTTCATCCAAGGCAGACACATAAACTGCCAACCCAAGCACCAAATCCAGCCAACAGTTTTGTTTGGTCTACATGAAAATGAAAATTTTACCTCCAATTTGTCAGGATCTTCACAAATTTTTACAGTGTAAGGCTTGGCCTGTCTCAGGTATCTCAAGTACTTGCCTGGACATTATAGGCATTTGAGTTCGCAAACTGCGATCTAAGGTTACAAAGATAATGGTAGCACTGGGGCCAAAGCAGAGGATTCCTTCCCCCCCGTCACACCGGCTCTCTTCTCTTAACTCACGGCGGCATTCATGCATTCTTACCGATGCCTTTTTCTGTAGAACTTCATTTTATTTAAATCACGGCCCAGACACTATGTTAGAGGAGGCTAGGGTGGCATAGGAAATTAAATATGCAGACTCTATAAATGTGTCAAATAAAATTGGGAGTTGCCCATCAAAATAACTGCCAATAACTCAAACAGGTAATTGTCACCGAGTTTCTCGACCAATTTTATTGCTCTCCCTTGTGCCCCTCTAGATCAGCTTTATAAAGTGCAGCCAAAGAGGATGCCTTGACCCCTTCAAGGGAACTAAAGACAAGAATCAAAAAGCTCTAAGAGAAGGAAAGAGTCATTTTTCTCCTCCTTAGATAAAACAGAATCCAGACTGCTTTGCCGTTCATCAGAGTCTACAGGCTGTGGATTTAGATATTCAGCATTTGTCATGGCTAGAGATACTAAAGAACCTCTAATAAGAGGAGTTAAACTACCATTTTGTTGAGAACAAAAGTGTGAAAACATGAATAATCCTCGAATTATCTAGTTGATGGACTTTATCGCTGATGTAAACACAACTGTGTATTAACAAAACAAAAATACCATAACTTTATGTAAGTTTAGTACAGAACCTCATTTAGAATATGATTTCTTTGAACAGCTGACTCAGAAAACTAATACAAGAATGTTATATATACTGCGAATGAAAGGAAAGATCAATGCAATGTGCCTCAACATCAGAATCAAGAGGTTTGGCTTTTGTTTGCTTTTGTGATAGTGAAGCACAACTCAGGGATATCAAGTAAGTAATTAAACACTCACGGTATGATGAGGGATTTAACACCAGATTTTAAAAATTGAAAACTTCACTTTGATATATTTCAACAATATTTATCTTTTCATTAAAACTTTTAGCAAATTTAATAAAATATTGCTTCCACATTAATTATTGAAAATAAACCTTAAGCTTTGCAGAAATGATTTTACCATGCTTCTTCATTTCATCCAAAATAGACTCATTCGACCCGGTGCCCAAATTTCCAAAACACAGAAATGAATTGTAACCTTTCTGATAAATAAGCTCAGAGCAAACCTCTTTATTAATATTTATAACAAAAAGTATTCTTTGAAGGATGCTTGACAGTAAACAAGACTTTCTGTTCACAAACCAATTTCTCAATCACTAGAACAGATACAGAAAAGGAAACTTTTTCCCTTGTAAGGAAAACTCAAGATATGGAACAAAAGGTTCCACCACTGAACAAACTCTGCTCAACCTTATGTAGAGGCTGATGGCTGCTTGCTCCCAAGACAGAAGGTAAGTGCATGGGAAACCCCCACCCCCGCAGCCTCCCAGCTGCTCCCCTGGCAGGGTGGGAATTAAGCATCAACTTCAGTGCACATCACATTCGGTTTGTAAGTTTTTGTTTTGTTTTCTTTAAAGACTATATCTTGTAGAATTTAACATTCTCGATTTCTCCACAACCTTCTTCTCCTGTCACTCTAGCCACTGTCACATCAACTGTATGTCCGATGCTAAGAGCACCTAGTGAAACTGAGGCTAATCAAATGCAGAGTTGAGACAGCTAGAAAATCCTGAGGATGCAAAAACCCAACTGTGTCGCCGATTTCCTTCTGAGGTGCTCTGAAACGTTGGAATGGGCAGATTCCCCTACACTGACAAGTATAAAAATTACTGTCACAATTTTGCAAACCGGCTTGTCAAAGTGCTAAAAATAAATTTACTATGGTTCCTATGTACTGAGTTACTGAAAATTTTAATTTACCCAGGAAGTCTAATAAACTTAAGAAAATTTAAGTGTAACTTCAATATTGTTTAATTAACAGATTTAAAATTGTTTTTCTGATTTAAGTTACGAAAAACGGGCAAAAAATGTTTTAAGTGATTATATAATTGAATAAAAAGTAAAGGCTGGCATTGGATTTCTTTCTACAGTTCTTGAAACAGAACACATTTTCTACTAAAATTCTGCTATCTTCTTCTGCTGCCTCGCCACCCTGATACCACATGCCTCTTTTATGCCTTTTCTAGTCTTCACAGATAACATATCTGTGTATTTATACAAATGTTTTATTTATCTTTTCCTTTTGCAAGCACTAAGAACCCATCCGAACCAGGCTTGCAAAGTGAACCTTTCATTTAGCCTTGTTTCCTAGAGAAGTTATATAAACATCATAAACACATCAAGCAACCCATGAACCGATAACTTAGAACATCGATGAACCAAGTGTGCTCCCGAAGGCGAGCCGTCTGTCCTCACCTGTAGAAGTACGAACACCCCCTGACTGTGTTGTGAGTGAAATGTTCCTGAGTCTTCTCGTTTCCAAAATCCTCCAGGGGGTCTGACCACAGGATATCACACATAGGTCCATAAGCAGGTGGTTCTTTGAATCGGTCTAACTAAGAAAAATAGAAGACAGAGAGCAAAATACTAATCTTTGGAAGCTTGGAATTCAGAAAATACAAGTGTTGTTGCAGTCCCTGACCTCCTCCCAGCACAGTGCCCGGTGAGGGCAGCCCTCTTCCTCTCTTCCTGTTTCCTCTCCTGCCTTCCTTCCTCCCCCTTTGTCCATACTTCCTCTCTCTCTCCAGTTTTCCCTCCTTCCTCCGGATGAGCCTCTTCATTATCTGTCTTCACCTCACTCTTTACCTCCCTCTTGTTTCTTTAATTCCTACTCTTTGCTTCTCTTTTACTGTCTCCCAGTTTACTTTTTATCTTTTCTCTCGCTCCTCCTTACTTATTGGATCTAAGTATTTTAGTCATTACCAGTTGATGTGACTCTGTGTTTCACTTCTTGAGGAGGAGCTTCTATGTTGTTTTATCTTTGGGGAAATTTCTATTACTGCCTCCATTAAGCTGAGGCTTAGAAATCTGTATGGAGAACAACGTATGGTGTTTATACTGAATGATATGACATTGAGAACAAACGGCTTTCATTTTAAGAGCAGCCACTCGTTGTATGACATTCTGGATATTCACTATTAGGAGCTATCTAAGTTCCGAATTAGAGTACAAGCCTGTTGTAGTTTACCTTAGTAGTGACAAACCAAGAGGAATGATAAGCAGTAAAATAAACCCAAATTTAGCTGGTCATTCTTCAGCTCTAAGCTTTATAGTTTTACCAAAACCCTCATATGAAATCCATTTTCCAGCTATAAATGTTTAGCAAGGTCATACCTCAATTTTAAAAGGTGTATTTAGAAAGCAAGAGCAATATAATAACTGGAAATGACATTTCACCAACAATTTTATAACACTATCACTTTCTTGTAGTCTATCCTGCTTTAACTGCAGTTAAAGAATCTTCAGTGAAGTTAGCGGACATTATAGTCTCTTGAAAAAAAGCATAAAACAGCTATGAAAATCTATTAAGAACTGATATTCTTCATATTCAATACTTCAATATTTTTCAAAAACCCATAGGGAAAGGTGAATATATGAGCCAGCCTGGCAGCCGATCAAATTCTTTTTCCTGAGACATAAAAGGTGACATAAAAATGGTTTTGCTACACACCATTTTTTACTGATATCTAAAAAGAATGAAACAGTATCTCACATTTTCAACACTCAATGAAAAATTTCAGTAAGCCAAGACTCTCTATATTTCAACCATTATGTTATCCATAAAATATTCATTGCAAACTTAGGCTTGTTTAAGTGACTTAAATAATTTATGCTTTTGGAATAATTCATCCAAGAAAAATAATGCTTGTTCATAAAAATACAGAATTTCTTTCTAAGAAAGAAGAACGTATTATTAGGGGTAGAACAGCAAAGGAGGGGAGTCTTTCTGATTACTATGAATTCCCAGCTAAAGGTTTGGTAAGGCAACCAGGATACAGAACATATTCTGGAAAAGTTACAAAGTGCATTCTGAAATTAATACCACCAACAGGAAGAAGAAACAACTACAAAATTAATTAAATAAAGTAAGTATGGTGGAAACTCTAACTGACACAGGGCACAATGCAAACCTAAAAATCATTTTATGGCTAAGGTTGGAACTCAATGACATATGTAAAAATTGAATAGAATATCTGAAACATGTCAGAAAGTAAGTTCTGGGGATAGTGGGTGATAGTTCTAAAATTTACTTAATTTATGGTAAGAGTTTAGATGATATTACAAAAGTCCATCAGATTATAGAACTCATACAGAAAGTGAACCACTCTCTCCTTCAGCTAAATGACTACAATTCAGTGTCATGTCTTTCTCATACTTTAAACAGAGAGCAAATACCAGTGCTCTGTGTGCTACAGAACTCTAGAAGCAGATGGGTAGTGGTGTCTTATAAAAAAAGACACAAACTCACACAGCAGGAAACAAAGGTTTATTTAATGTACTTCTGTTTGACTTTAAAAATAAAAATCTTGCATTTCCTTTCTGATGGGAAACTAACTATTGTATTATTTTTACACTTGGAAACTTGGGCCTTAATGAGAGAGTATTAAGGTAGAATTTGAATGTTTTATTTCCTTAAATATAGTATTTCTTTAAAAGCCAGGAAACTTTTCCAAGAATATTGAGCAAACCAGTAATAATAATAATAAATAAAAGATTGTCTCTTCCACTACATAAAACTATCTCATCACATATTCTCAAGAAAAAGATATTTGCATATTCAATCTAACTCATCCTTTTGCTGGCTAAAACAACTGTTAATAGCCAATGTTAAATTAAGTAAAAAAATACCTCAAAAAAATCAACTTTCACTTAGCCTCTCAATACAGCGAATAGGATATCACCATTGCTTTTGTCAGATTGTTGCTTTAACGTGTTAAGCTGTGAAAATAATAGATTTTTTAAAAAATGCTAATGTGGACATATTTTAAAGGTCGACTTGTGATATTTTCCCAAGAACGAAGCAACGTTTTCTAGCTCTAATAGACTATGAATACACAATGGGTTGTTTAACACCTGCCAAAGGGAAATGAAAAGGCATCTATTTTTCAGGAATCAAACAGTATACATTTCAATGACACTTATCACACGGTAAAAGGAACCCTGAGGTTTTCGAGATAAAAACTCTTTCAAGTATATATATATATGTTTCTTTCTGAAGAAAAGCGAATACAGAGAGAAGAGATGCGTGACAGTTTTAAATCATTTCAATTCAAAAGGATAGAGTTCGTGAAAAAGACAGGGACATTCATGTCTCCGGTTTATTAACGAGCAACGAGGCTCCGAAACAACAGAACTTACTTTCCTGATATCGTCTAAAGTATTAATCTCTGGAGACAAACCGCCGTGGACACACAGGAACTGTTGGTTCATCAGGGCAGCCAGGGGCAGGCAGTCAAAGGCATCCATACAGGCATCATAGACGCGTTCTGAATACTTTATTTTACCTTTTAAAACATGATCCCAAAACAAATAATCGACTCATGATTTCATAGCTAGGATCATTTCCTCGAAACAGGTTTTTTTTTTTTATGTTTCCTTCCCAGCATCATACTACTAGCATAGAACTACACCTTGCAAAGTTCCAAAACATGATTACCTAAGACATTTTGACGAGATCGATCACCGGTTTCCCCTGCTATCCGAAAGTCTAGTGATCCTATGAAACCTTTGGTAAGCCGAAGCAATTACCATTAATTTATACAGAAAAATTGCGGGGGCGTTCCCAGATCCACAAAAGAACCTCCTAGGCGTTCCTGATATCCTAAGACACCACTTGTAACAGATACACAAAATAAATGAAGATACAGCTCAGATGCTCAGGGACACGGCTCAAAGCCCTGGCAGCTTGACGGTAAGGTGCTGAGTGTAGTTCCCAGGGAAGGGGCTTGGCAGGGCCACTCACTGCTCAGGCTGAGCGCCGCCTCTAGAAGTGCTCGCTGCAAGTATAACACTGACCACTATTTCTGTTTTTCACTGTTCTTCCTAAAAGCAAAAATTCTCTTTGGATTTCTTTTGGTTAATGTAGGTTTTCATAAATGCAAAGTGACATAAGATATACTTTCAAAAGGCAGGGAATACCTGTATTATTAATCTTTAAATCTACTGTTTTGCATTTTTGTTGTTCATCCCTATATTATAGTTTTTAGTAACTTTTTGTATAGCAGACAAGAGAACTTTTGTATATAACCTTGCTACTGATACGCAGATGTATCTCAAAAATTATATATACAAACAACTAGGAGACCAACAGAAACATGGCCTTATAAAGCTGGCTAATCTTCCTAAATGATCTTACGGAAAAGGAGATAGCAAGAAATTTTCTAAAGTTGTTTCTGTATCACTGCACATTGTTTTTCCCTTACTGACTTATATCTAATATTCTGAGAAAAGTCTCTGTACTCCACTGAATATAGGGCTAAATGACAGAGAGAAATTTGTTTCACTGGACAATAGGGAAAATTAAGAGAGGAGGAAAATGAAATTTATATGAAGTTCTCCTCACTCCTAGTATTTATGTCTAAAGGAAGACGTCATCTCTAATTTTGTAAAATCCACTAGAGGCTAGTAAATCTATTGAGTCCAAAAGAGGCACAGTTGAATTTGCCCTCCATCTGCTTTTCTTGAGTGATTTGAGATGAAAGGGTAAAATTATCCCCCTGAATAGTAGTATTCTGGCTATTTTTAGAAACTAAGTTAATCACTGTTTGTTAGGACAAATTACATCAAATATTAATTCAAATTTTCAGATCACTTTATAGAAAATTTATAACTTAAAAAGAAATTCTGAATTCTCTTGTCCATGCTTAGAAAGAAAATTAGAATGACATAGAATAAAATAGTGTCATTTTTTAAGTTCTTGACTTTTAAGCACTGGCTATCATCATGTGCTCTTGGTGTGGACTAAAATGACTAGCACATATGGCATTAAAGGAAGAAGCTTGAAGTATACTTACATTCTTGTTTAAATGTGAAATACTCTGTTAGATGTCTACATTCATGATTTCCACGAAGTAAAAACAGTGTTTTGGGGTAAAGAATTTTCAAGGCCCACAAATACAGCACACACTGAAAAAAATAAGAATAATATAAAAATAAATATTTTCCCATTATACTTAAGGATCCCGTTGCTCACATATGAGGAAGACATGAACTAATGTGTGACTATGACCAAAAGTCACCAAAAGGCTAGGCCTTATTAAGGAGGATATTAAAAATCAAACAGAAAACATCACTTTAGTACAAGGACAACGTTTATATGCATGCACTGAGGATCTATGCACTGCAAGAGAACAATGGACTTTACAGGGTCTATTGGAAGAAGTCTGAATGAAGATATACTCAAAATATACTGGTGTGCAAGTATGAGAAGAAACATGATTAGCAATTAACAAATGAAGACACCTCTCTTTATAAAACAAATTATTAAAAAAGAAACCAGTGGGGCGCCCTGGATGGCTCAGTTGGTTAAGCGACTGCCTTCGGCTCAGGTCATGATCCTGGAGTCCCGGGATAGGGTCCCGCATCGGGCTCCCTGCTCGGC